CCCCAAAACCCCAAAACCCCAAAACCCCAAAACCCCAAAACCCCAATATAGGGAGAAGAAATTGAGTGATATTATTGTTGATTTCTGGGATTGTTTGATAGAGATTTTGATTAGGTGGAGAAAGAAATGATAAAAGTATGTATAAAATAATTTTGTCATATTACGAGTTAAAACTTTACCTGAATGATAAAATCTAAGGGCATATAGATTTGGTTGCCAAAAATATATTCTTCCCAGCATCCGAAATATGTATATAAATTTTTAGAAACTAGATTGTGAATTGCAAACTTAATATTATTTGTGCAATGCAAAAAGTAAAATTCACATCCTAATACCTAAGCTTTTATATATTAGATACTGGAAAGAATACGGCTATAGCAAGAAATTGAACCTCTTTTGAGCCAAGAGTAGATTTCTTTCAACTCCTATCAAGCTCTATCATTAATTTCACATGCCAAATACTGCCCGAATTCTCTATGCTAACAAGTTAAAAAGGACTCCCCAATACTAATAACTACTTCCCCTCAATTCATTAAACCACAATTACTCAATCACCTAACCTCTCCTCCACCCAAAACACCCCAGCCCACCCCACTTCCCTTCTCCCCTTAACCCCTACCCCAAACACCCTAAAACCCTAATTCAAAAACCCACTTTCACTAATTACTCCTCTTAAGCCCTTCACAGCACAGTTCCAAAGTTCTATGCCTATTGGGATAATACTGTTCTACAAAGAAATCGTTGCTAATTCCTTGGTGCTCTTTGCACACGAATATTTTGAAGGTGTCCACTATTTTTCAAAATATTGAACAGAATTCTTTTGGGTACTTTGGTCTGGGGATTGAGGCTAGAATACTCTCGAAACAGGAGATCAGGTCTATGTATTTTATGTCAACAAAAAGCTTTTTGAAGCTTCTTTTTTCTTTCGAGAAATTTAGTATAAACTTACCTAACAATGTAAGATAAATCTCAATATTCTTAATATCATCTAAATCACTTGCATCCATCTCTCTCAACTTCCTATACACCTTCCCAAACCCTCTAACATTCCCCCCACTATCCCCACCCAAATCCCTACCTTCCAACATCCCAGCAATTTCCAGCATCTGCTTCCTCCTCTGCTTCATCTGCCTCTTCTTCCTCTTCCTCCTCACCTCTTCTACATAAGACTCTCTATCCTTCTCTGTCTCTACAGGTCCATTCACTGTACATCTCTTAATTCTCTTCTTTTCAATATTTGCCTCCATTTTAGGGGTTTTGGGGTTTTGGGGTTTTGGGGTTTTGGGG